AAAAACGTCTGAAACATGTGCGACGATTAAAATAAAAATGAATTAATACCACGAATTGTTGAAAATATACGTACACAACATAAATGAATAGTTCCTATCCATGGGAACCTCAAAAGAACACTGCAGATACTACTCGAAAACTTCTGGGAAACAAATGTGTCGATATTTGAAGGTATAACAAAAAAGTTAACATTGTTTTTACATTGAACAATGGTTCAATAAATTTGAAAAAAACAGGAAAATCCAGAAGAGACTGAAAATATCATTAGCTTGATAGCATTATCGTTGACTCTGATGAATACTGCGGAAAAACGGACATTTCTTTTCTCATAGAGACGCAAAAGCACCGTAGGACAATTCTCAAAATATTCAAAAAATTGGTTTCGATTCACATTGGATACTAAATGCTATTATAAGTTATATTCATTTGAAAAAGAGAAGGGAAGTTGAAAAGCTTTCTTGATTTAGACCTTGACCTGTGCCTCCCTATTATGAAATAGATGTAATGTTGGACACGGACAATTGGTAAACATTTGTTTAAGTCGGAAGTGTGTAAATCTCGTCTTCTTTCTATATTGTGAAATCCTGCACTTCAGTATGGTGCTTGGTGTTTTTTCAGCATCATACGTGTGACTTGGTATTGTATAAGTATTTTCGCTAACCAACTATTCCCACTTACGAACGGCAAGCCTCTAGAAATCAATATTTTTGCGAAATAAGTTTTATCAACAAGGATTTTCAGTTGAAGTTTGATGTTATAGTACAGAAGCGCAGACAGATCTCAAAAATCAATTATGTTTTTTTACAGTATAAATGTAAATTTAGTAAATATAGTAAATGGACAAATGTACATTTGCAACTGTGCATTTGGACTTATTACTGTAAATTATGATCTTCGTCTGTTGACAGCAAGTTGATCGCATGTAAACTTTCTCGGCAAAATAGATGTCAGATGACGTCATTAATAATAAGATTCCCTAGAATGGAATAATTCAATTTGTATCAGATGTCAAATATTCAATAATGAAAACAAACTTTTCAATGTTCTTCAACCTCAATTAGTATCGGATTTGTACATACAATAATTTTCCAGCTTTATTTTGTACATCATTACAACGTATTTGATAAAAAGTTTTCAGCACTTTATGAACTATAACGACCAAAATAAAGTAGAAACTGACAACTGACCTAACGTAACGTCAAATTGCAAATAATAGTTGATGTGACGTCATCGGTTCAACGCCAGAATGACTGTATATGAATCACAGACGAATAAGTTTTGAATACATGATCGCCAGAAAACGCCTTTCATAATATGATCATTCATTAGTTGAATACAGCTTTGGTTAGATTTTACTTTTTTTAACGTCATTTAAAAGTTAGTTACGTAGTTGCAGATCAGTAGATGGCGCCAAAGGTCCTCGATATAAAACTTAAATATAAAATATTAGATATAATATTTTTTTATTCTCTACCCACTACGGGTGGGCACAGATTGAATACGTATAAATATCAAAAAATGTTTCAATATGAATTCCACCAACATTCGAAAATTAATTAATTATTTCATGTTCCTGTTGATAACAAATAAAAAAAAACTTTCATGCGTTTCTTGCTATCAGCTCATTTCGACATACAATTTTGTTAGTCTTCATGAAATGTATTTTTCAAGCAAGTGTTTGAGAGCATTATACTTTATAAGAATTAACTCAAAATTATTCACATATTAATTGATTTTGAAATATTATATGCCATGAAAATTGTGTAAATTTTAATCTACCAAGAGACTATTATAGATTTCACATTTACTGACCCTTGAGACAGACCAAATATACGAAAACCGAAAACCCTTAACTGACACCTATTATGCCGAGTGGAAGTGAAGAGACTGATATCTAAAGATGCTTGAGATGATTTATAGTTATAAGTGTGAATTCATAGTTACAAATGTGGATTGTGAAAAGATCATATTATTGATTTTTGTGGCCCTTCTACGCTTTCAAATTACGATGCTTGAAAAATTATTTGCTTCGGAATTTTCAAATTTTTTCATATTGCTCAGAAATGATGATTGTCATATTCTAAGAATAATATCAATTATTAAAGCCAGTGATCCTGAGCAGATGGTTGAAAATATATCATACGATTTCTTTCGATATACTGTTCATAAATACATACATATTTTATACTAATTATTAGCTAAATTTTTATAGCGTAATTCTGATGGTTTTGAGATGCTACTGGCATTAAGATTGAAACCGCACGTTTTTCCAAGAGTTTGTACAATAAATGACATCCTACTGACGCAATACGCAATTGATGTTGATCATGTTCATAAAACTGAAGATAGTTCTGTGCTCATGATTATTTTATGGTGGGAGTTTCAAACAAAATTACTATCGTAGTACTCATGTTAATTTTATGAACGTAAAATTGAACAAGTGAACACCGGTTTGATTTTGATTCTGTCTTTGGCGTCAGTGCTAAAAAACAACGTGCGAAAGTCTAACTTTGAAAAATGGAAAATGAAATCGTCGAAGATGCTGAGCCCTCCAGTAGTACAGTAACTCAAAGGCCAAATAAAATCAGAAATAAAAGATCTGATGGAGGTAGACCTTCGAGAAGCGAATTTGAGATTATCAGTGAAAAATTGAGATCAATTCATTCCCCTCTTATAGACTTGAAGCCAAACCATTATGAAAATAAGTTTTTGGGACGTTACAGATTATACATTAGTAACATTTCTACTTCAGTAACAAAAGATGACTTGGAAAAGGCTTTCAAACCTTTTGGAGAAATAAATGATGTGTTTATTCAACCCAATAAAAATTTTGGCTTTGTCAAAATGGATTATTATCATAATGCCCTCAGAGCTAAAAAAGAATTACATGGTACTATATTGAAGGACCGTAAAATTTACGTAACTTTTTCTCCTCAAGCCAGCATTGTGGTAAAGCATTTGTCTCCCTTTGTTTCAAATGAACTTCTTCATGTAGCCTTTTCTGTATTTGGTGATATTGAGTGTTGCTTCATTATAACCGATAGAAGGGGAAAGTCGGTTGGAGAAGGAGTGGTCGACTTTGTCAAGAAAAGTTCAGCAGTTGCAGCTAAAAAGCATTGTAGGGAAAAACTGTTTTTTATAAGTTCCTGCTTGAAACCCGTTACTGTTGAAGACTATATTTCTCCACCAGATACTGATGGAATTCCAGAAGAAACGGTAAGAAAATATGTTTTTTAAAAAATATTTCTAATTATTCAAACAATATTTCTTGAAAAATTCCTCAATACTGTAGGGCTCCTGATCAAGTAAGAATTCTTTCAGACTTCAGAAATCTGCTTACAACCTCAATGTTGCGTATATTTTGGGGGATTCTGTTATAGAATTTAATAGCTTGGTAGATGCTGCAACGCTCAATCAGAGCCTTTGTGTGAATGGGGATACGCGAGATCATTTTTATGTCTTGTTTCATAAAAGTGAGTTTTACAGAAATTCCTAGAATTTTTATTGAAAAGTACTCGTACCACTCATTTTTGACACAGAAAAACTACATAAATCATTACTTGAACCCCAAACTGTTATTCCTAGCCTCATGATAGAGTAGAAATTTGCATAATATACTGTTAATAATACTTTGAGATCATCATATTTTGAGTACTCTTATCCCATATATTACTGAAGAATCTACTGCATATATTGTCTATCTGAATTGTCCAACTCAAAGTATCATCAAAGTTGATACCCAGAAACTTCACTGAGGTATTGCAAATAATTTTTTCTTTATCAAGTGTTATGTGATGTGGCGTTTCTAAACTTTTGTTAGTTTTGAAAATGAGGCAGTCAGTTTTTCCTTCATTTAGAATCAACTTGTTCTCAAGAAAATATTCTTTGCATTTTTTGATTGCTTCACTTCCTTTTTTGATTGTATCTGGTAAAGTGCCACCAGTCAGCAGGAGATTGATATCATCAGCATAGTTGATCAGATGAGCAGGATTTACATTTTTTGTAGCCTCACTGATGTCATTTATAAAAATAATGAATCGATAGGAGTCTCCCGCGGAACTCCTATCGATATAGCCAAGGCTGTTGATCTGTTTTATTTTTCTGCTTAGGTTGTACTATCTGCTTTCTGTTTTTGTGATATGAGTTAAACCAATTATAAGTGTTACCTTATAAATTTAAAAAGTTTGGGCATAAAAATATAATGATCTATACAAATGAAGGCCTTGAATAAATCCAGAAAAAAACCCTTTCCATTGATTCTATAATTTGAATGCTGAAATGAACCAGAACTGTTTTGATAGACCTATTTTTCAGATATCCATGTTGGTGATTGGAAAACATGTTGAACTTTGTAAAAAAGGAAACTAAATCATTTGGCTATGGCTAATTCAAAAAATAAAAACAATGGCAGATAAATTCAGTGCTTGAAATCAACACAATAAACGTTTTCTCAATAAATTGAACACTACTTCGATGAAATCATTTATTAGGAGAGATTTCAGCAGTAATTCATGCACAATAAATTATATTCACTTAGCTAAATAAGTTATGTTTTTAGGACCAAAATCTAAACAACAAACTCAATTCTGCATAAAATTCAATAAAAAAAATGGAATCTACTCTAGATGAATTTGGATTGTCAAGTGTCTACTTTTCTATGGCTTATTTTCACATAAGGGTGATGTTCCAGGGAGTTTCCGAGAGTTTTTGTTCCACAGAAAAGACTAATGAGATTGGTATTTAATATGACTTTTCAAGATAGTTATAGACCAATTTTCCTAAAAGAGGGCCTTTTCACTGCATCACCTGAATCTATCTTCAAATAGATCAATATTTTTAAACAAATTTTCATATTCATGGTAGAGACACCCGCCATGGCACCTTTGAAGAATTTTTCCACATAAAACGGCTCATTTCAGATGCTCGCCATTATTTAATGCAGCGAACTGTTATAAATTGCCGTCATGCATTATGACTTGGTACTTGTACCCGTTGTGCAGAAGTGTCAAATGAATCAAATATTAACACCCATTCCAAACATTTTGTTCTCTGTTCTAGTTTGTACTGGTCTTTAATGTGTGTTTGTCTTCTGGACATAATTTGTTCATAAATTGCTTGCCTCCATTATCACATGACAAGCTGTTTTTTCCTTTGTTTGGCTCTAAGGTCTCTATTATACAGTCCTATTTTGTTCAAGCATCCTCTTGATGAGCAATGTTCATAAAGGTTTCCTTTACTTCTTTATATTCGAGAGTGTGGATGACCTACTTTTTTTTTTTAAGTTCCAATGATTCATATACAGGATGTTTCATTGGGAAATTCGCATATCTTGTAAGTACATAAGGATTTCCAAGACGGTCTAAATTACCTATATTTAATGGGTCTCAGATTCTTCATAACCAAGATTCAGGATGGTTTATCGATTTTGTTAATTCTTTAATTAATAATGATTAATATTTTGCGAACCACAGATTAACTTTTTACATATTGACTACATTATTCTTTGTTTAATATTAGGTTGTTTCAAAAGCTTTCTTTGTTTTAATGTCATGTATTTTTAGCTCCATTTCTCAATAAATATTTATTTTACTGTGTTGTGGTATATACTGATCAATAGAGAATTTTGTACTCTATATATTGATGCTGTCCATTTTTTCCCAATTTTTTGCCTCTTCAGCTTATTACTATGTGATGTCTTTAAGCGATTTTTGACCAATTTTCTTCTACAAATTCAAATTGAACCAAAACGCTGCCGAAACTTCCCATAACATAAACCAGACATTTGGTAATGATATTGAACACTCTGTTCGACTTTGTTTTGCAAAATTTTTTTTCGGAGATTTTAGTACCTATCGAAAACGAGGATTTGTGGACCCCGGTGGAGACTGACCCATCACAAACGGTGCGTGGGATGGTTTAAAATGTATTGGTGAAAGGTCAAAGGGCTCGAAAAGTGGGTGCCCCATGATATCAACGATGGACAGAAACTGTCACGTTTCGAGGTCTGTTGTTCTTTGCTTTTGCGCAACCAAAACGATCCTTTTTTGGATCGGATCGCCACATTTAATGAAAAGTGGAACCTCTACGATAACAGGAGACATTCAGGACAGTGGTTAGACACCAATAAGCCACCCAGGAACTTCCCAAAGGCGTAAACTCCCCAAGAAAAGATCATGGTTACTGGTCAACGGCTGGTGTGATTCACTATAACTTTCTGCAACCGGGCCAAACTATCTAAGTGGAGTTCTATTGTGGGGAAATCGACGAAATGTACCGAAAATTGCGTCAGCAGAACAGGTTCGATCCTGCTCAACACAAACGCCCTTCCCCACATTCACAAATCACCATCCGAAAATTAAACGAATTGAGCGTCAAGTTCTGCCTCACCCACCACACTCCCTAGACCTCTCGCCAACCGACTAACATCTTTTCCAGCACTTTGATAACTTTCTCACCAGTAGAACTTTCGATAATCACCAGAACAAGAACCAGGCAAAAATAGCCTTAGTCGAGTTTATCGAGTCCTGAGAACCCAATTTTTATGCTGGTGGAGTCAATTGACTCATGTTATGTTGGCAAATTTGCACCGATTCAAATAACGCTTATCTCGATCAAATTGAATAAGTGTTCAGTGAGATATTACAGTTTGAAGTAGACTCATAAAAACGGACAAAACGTTTGAAATAATCAAGTGCATAAATGACAAATCCAGTTCAGAATTGAAAAATAAACAAATATGATTCACTTCAAAACATCGTACAACGGAATTTTGAAAATTATTAAATTAGCAGAAAAAAAAAGAAGTTACTGTATCTTCAGTATTTTTGCATACAATTTTATCACTACATAATTTGACTCAAATGTAAATATTTCGATAGAAGGGTGTACATACAAATCCAAAACAAGCACTTTCTCCAAACACCAAAGCTGCAAATCTCTGCTCGACGCAGGTTTTATCTACCTTAAATTTACAAGTTGTAACTGATAAAATTATTAATTCTTTTATTATTGATTCTTGATTTGTGTTTAATGATCTTGAAACAAAACGTACTTGAGACAAAACGCTAATTTGATTAACTAACTTACGATCACCCTTTATGTGTAACAAAATTATGATGTTTGTAAAATATGGTCTTCAAATATCCTCAAACATGATAGTTGACTGGGATAAAGTGGCGATCTTCATGGCTAGTTATGAGGTCCACTTCTGTCTATAAAATAATTTGGAAAGTTTAGATTAAAAAACTTTTCACTATTACCTTGTTATGATAATGTTGGAAATACATTTCTGTGAATCAATTCTTGAATTGTGGAGCCAAACATCTAAAATATTTTGCAAGAAGTTATTATCCAAAACCGATCTGCAGGTATGTCAATAGCTCTTCCTTGTAAATATTTTTGAATACGTGATGGGATTTCTTCATTAAAGATTAATTTTTCACAGGTTGTGCGTACATATCCACTGAGCCTAACCAGAAAACCTCTAAGTTTACTAAAGAAATCATTTAGATTGCTAGATTTTGTCTCACAAGTTTCTCCAAATTTAAGTTTAGATTTTTCATACAACCAAGTTATCTGTATTTTTGCAGCTCATTTTATTTTACTGATACTACAGCTTTTATTGTACTTTTTAAATTATCTCGACATTTTTCGTCACTATATCTGCTGATTTTACTGTTTTTTCAAGTTGTGAATAAGTTCACTATCATTTTTTGGTGCCCATTCACTAATCTATTTTTATTTAACTTCTTTATCAGCATTAGACTTCTCATCGAGAACAAAGCAAACTGCATCTTCTCCGTGTTTTTTTTTGTAATTCAAGATAATTGCTGTTCAGGGCCTTTTCTTCTTGTTCCTATTTTTCCATCAGTAGCCAAAGTATCCGAATTTTAATTTTCCTTTTATTTAACTTAATTCACACCTATTCAAACTCGATCAAATAAACCCAGCTTCTTGACGAAGCCGATTAGTCTATATGGTGAGTGATCTTTCAGGTCAGAAGTGTGGTTCTACCAAACTCTGAAAACCTAATTCGGTCCGCAGCGGGCAGGCACAAAGTATATGCTATGCTGTTTCATTTTCCAAACAGAGGCGACACACATTGTTTTCCGACAGTCCGAGTCTCTGCATAATGATGATTCAGAAGATAGTGACCTGTAAGGAGACCTGTTGGACATCTTAGTTCACCCCTACTGTAGTCCAACAACTGTTTGGTTTTAAGCTTTGAACGCCTTGGAGTGAGCCAATCCTAGAAGACTTTGCCAAAAGTCTTTAAATTTCCCCCCCATCCAGGTGTTCAATGTTTCCTTAGCAAAACCGAAAGCAATGCCAATGACAGGTTCTGGTTCGATGAAGCTACTTGCATCAACCTTCTTTGCAAGGAAGTCACCAGCCTCATTGCCTTCCAGGCCAGTGTGACCAGTAATCCAGACCAGAGACAATTTGAATTTTACTGGAGTTTAATCGCAACACCAAACCGTTATTTTTTAGACCTCGATACGTGTTTCAGTCATCAAGTGATTATCTTCAAGAGGAAGATTATGTTTCCTCTTGTCATCCTTACTATCAGCATGGATTCCGACCCACCAATTGGAGTGTGCGCGTGCGTACGTTAGTGTGAAAATTTTAACTAAAAATGTATTTTCGATAAAAACGTTTATTTTTATTTTGAACAGCTTTCTTCCATTGAGGGAACTCATAAACCTAAGCACTAAAGATTTCTTTAGTATTTTGAAAAGTTTGTTTATAATACCTTGTATTGAAAGGAAAGAAATTGTTAGGATAATACCAAGAAGCATACTTATGTGAAATATTTGTAATGTACCTTGTATTCAAACTTTTTGTAAGTTGTAAGTGACTAACTTGAAGATAATTAAAAAATAATTTTTTTGTGTTTCACAGATTCGAAAATCACGAGAGTTTTATCAAGATCGAAAAGCAGGTCCTAGATTTGCTGTACCTGGCTCATGCCAATACCAATATGCTGAACTATTTAAAGAGGTATGGGCAAAATACAGGTTGAAAATGGATATGCTCAAATCCGAACAAGAATCTGAAGAGCAAAAGCTAGAATTAAACATGATGCGTGCACAATACGACGATGAGACTGAACGCCTAAGGGAAATGATACGGCAGCGGGAAATAGAAAAAGATAGATTCTGCAAAAAATTTGAAGACCAGGTCAGGCATACCACAAGAGATTCTCATTTGATGGATGAGGCAACTAAAGTGGAATTCAAAGCTCCTGATTTGTTTATGCAGGCCAACCAACTGAATGAAATGTTGGAAACCGAAGAGAGAAATATACAGGTATTTTTTTATAGATTTTGTAGAAGTAGGTGTCAACTCTCTTGTTTAATAACATCCTGAGCCTATTTTTGACATCCTCAACTTTGTATGTCAAAAATTAGGTTTTGCAGTTCTAAAATACTTACCTGAATAGATCTTGTAAAAGCAGTATCTAATTCTCTTGTGAAAACTCACTGCATGACATACCGCTGCTATTGATTTACATAAATTGTCGTTATGGCTACCGAATTTCAGTTTCTCATATGTCAGTATCAGATGGTAGCTGGTTGGTTAGTGTGAGTTGTTCGTTCTACTCACTCATTCAACCACTAAGTGAATGTTGGTTTAATTCCATACTAGGAATTGCACATTAAAAGGTAAGACTCCTTCAATCCTTAGCTTGCACAAACTTTAACTTCTGAGGTTTGTGATTTGAATGGAAATAATAGCTGGGTAACAGAAAAATACGCTGAGTGGTCCCACTCAGCATCCCCCGGTGAGATACTATTGCAATGGCTTAGGCAGCGTGAACTTGCTTTCGGGCTTACGTTTCGTTGCTGTGCCTGCTGTTTCCGGTTTCAAGGGTGAAAATAAGAGGAAAAATTGCCTGATGGCACTCCAAAACACTCTGGAGGTTAAATAGCTCACCGATCGGATCTGCAGAAGTTATTCGAAAACCACTATTTCTGACAGTCAGCAGGGTCCTTCTAACATCAGCCCACAGGAAAACAGCATGGCGACCGCAGTTGATAAGAGGCCCACTAGTAACTTCAAAATTAATTTTTGCAACATCAGAGGACTCAAATCAAATATAAACTCAGTGCATCAACATCTGCAAACAAATAGTTCTCATATTCTTGTACTCAAAAAAACCAAAGTCAGTGCTTCAAATCCCTTCAGTTTTCTATATCCCGGCTATTATTTCCACTCCCGATTCAGACATAACTTTGGAATGACTTTTTATCCGAAGCGATTTCTCCTGTCAATGAGAGAAAATTATGGAACCCCAAAACTTTGATGTTATGTGGTTTAAAATAATATCACAGAAAACAACCAAGCGATACACAATATAGGGCACTATTCTCTTCACTTGCAAACACCATTGATTTAGATGGCTAGATGTTTGTTTCAGTTCTAATGTTCCATCAACTTGTTTTTTGAATTCACGAAGTTATTCTCCATGGATGCATATATTCTTTTTTCTATGAAACGAACTTCCAACGGCAAACCTTGGATCAATAAAGATTGTGAGCAAGCTGTCGCTTTGAAAAATATCGCCTACCGGCAGTGGCGCGAAAATCTCAGTACTGTAAACCGAACTAGGTTTGTTGATGCTGGAAACAGCTGCAAACTCAGAATAAATGAAAGCAAATAACTTCACAATCAGAGAATTAGGGATAAACTGCTTGCGGATTTAGATCCTTCTGGTCGGTACCTAAAGCTGGTAATCAAAACTTTAGAAAATCCACAATCCCACCACTAATACGAACTGAACAATTTGCATCCCACTCCATAGCCGATTTTCTGGAAAAGGCACTACACACTATTCCCACACTTAAGTCTACAATGACAGAAATTACTTTTTGACAACGTCTAGTCAGGCGAATTTTGAAACAGCTCAATATCAACAAGGCGTCTGGTCCTCATGAAGTGCTAGTCATCGTTCTTAAAAAGTGCGTCGACTCGCACCACTATATTGCAGACTTTTCAACCTGTCTCACAAGGAAGGGGTTTTTCCTTCTTGTTGGAAGATTGCTCGTGTTCAGCCTATTCCCAGAAATGGCAAGACAACTTTTCCAAATAATTATAGACCAGTCGCTTTGCTATCAGTGATATCAAAAATCATAGAGAAATCTGTAATCCACCATATCCTTATATATTTGGAAGGCTTCAACATCATGAACGATTATTAATATGGCTTTCGGAAACAAAAATCAACAGGCGATATTCTATCATATGTCACCCATATTTTGAATAACGCAATCGAGAAACATGGAGAGTCAAGAGCTGTTGAGCTTGATATTTGGCATGAGGGTTTGCTGACCAAACTTCGATGCTAGGCTTGTCGGATCATTTTTGTGTATGGCTTTCCAGCTTCCTGAAAGAATATTCCTTGCTAGTAGCCGCCGATGGGTATCTTTTGAATACTTTTACCATCAACGCTGGAGTTCCCCAGGGATCCATATTGTATTTAACCCTTTTTATTTCAACAACTTATTGGAAAAAAACAAGAATCCAATATATTGCTTTGCCGACGACATCACACTTGTCTCGTCATTCCATTTGGATTCCAGGACATCGACTGCGGATGCACATCTTCACCGGCAGCAGGAGGTTGCATATCTCAATGAGGATCTAGAGATGATTTCGAATTGGGGTGAAAGCAACCAGGTTCAACTCAATGCCACGAAAACCCAGGCATCGGTTTTCTCGAAAAAGATTATTGTCTCCGAACTGTATATATAAATGTCAGGACAAACAGTTCCGCTTTCTGCATCGATAAGTTTGTTGGGGGTTAAAACGGACACCAATATGTCCTGTCACAATCATGTCGCTGAAACTACAAATGTTGCTTCTCAAAAGCTTGGAATACTGTTCCGAACCAGAAAACTGTACACATCTCAGCAACTTTTGATGCTTCATAAAGCTCAGATTAGATCTTCTTTGGAAAATTGTTCTCATGTATGTAGCTCTGCCCCTAAGCATACCCTGAAGCTGCTGGATTACATCCAGAAAAGAGCCATCCGCATGATTGGAGACTGGAACATCACTGGAACATCGAAGAAAGGTTGGAGATTTGTGTTTCTTTCATAGATACTTTCACGGAAAATGTTCATGTCACTTGGCACATTTGATTCCACCAAGAGTGGTACATATCAGAAATACGCGACAGAATGTTGCTGCTCATCATTTTGAGGTTCAACACAGTACTACTTCACTGTTTAAGAACCCTTTCATCTGGAGAACTGCGTTTATGTGGAATAAACTTCTTGAGAACGTTTTTGCAAATAAATTTAATCTCCAGCGATTCAAATCCAACGTGAATCGCTACTTTCACCCTCTTAGAGCCCACTACAGGATTTTCCTATAGTGTTTGTGTTTTGCCTTGAAAAAATAGAATGTTTTGAAGATTTCTGATAATTTCTTACGAGATCTTCATAGTCAATTAATGCACTACAGTTCACCAAAATTTTGTATATTTTTCAAAAATACTTCTTATTAATATCAAATTATATAGAGTAGGTACCTAAGTATTTTGATGGCATTTACATCAAATATTATTTTTTAATGTATTAAACCTAATTAATTAGTGTATCTCATAAAAAACATTTATACTTTCATGTCATTATTAACTAGTATTCATACATATACAAGCAATTAACAAAAACATTAGAATATATGACAAAAAGAATTTCCATAATTTCTGAAAAAATATGTGTTTATGATTTCAACAAAAATCACAATTCATATTATTTTATATGTGTTTCTTGGTGTATTCTTGGGTAACTATTCGTTGATAGGTTATAAGGGGGTGTTGAAGGGTTTCGGCGTTGGCGAGAAGAGTCACCGAATGGCGGCTAGTAAGCAATTCAATTCTCCAGACAACTTAATTCGGCATAGGCAATCACCTCGATTGCCAATGAAACATTTGATAAATAGCACAGTGTAACAAAAGCACTTTTAACGGAAAAGCAACAAAGCTTTATTAACAATAACTAAAAAAACAAGAGATTATTATTACCCATACGACTACTTCCCTGAAGAGGTCGTATGGGTAATGGTGTCGGGAGACCATCATCTTCTGCAAAACGCCGTAAGGCAGATACGTGGTACTTGTCTAGAGAAACGTCTGGGTCGTCCATGGTTACAACTTCATATGAAGTGGGTGAAACTTGTCGGAGGACAAGATAAGGTCCATCGCGACGCGGAGCAAATTTGGCCGTATACCCCACACTGGATTTACTAAGAGTGTGTGTATCGATCAGCACTTTGTCACTTTTTACAAAAGTGTCAGAGACGCGTAAACGGTTATCAGCATAAGTAAAGTCTCGACATGACGACGTAGATATGGTGTTATCTGCGGCAAAACATTTTCACTATTCAACACAGCGCGTAAGTCTTTGTGCACATCCATAGGTGTCCGGAGTTCACGAGCAAAGTTCAGATAGGCTGGGGTGAAACCCGTTGATAGGTTAGCGGCACTGTTCATTGCGAACCGAACACTCGAAAGCATTTCGTCCCATGTGGTGTGATCGTTCTCAACCAAAATTGAAAGCTGTATCTTAAGGTCACGATTTTGTCTTTCTTCGGGATTCGAGGCAGGATGGTAAACGGGGGTAAGGGACTGATGCATTCCAAGGCAGTACGTCACTTGCTGCATGACTTTACTGACGAATTGGGGGTCCATTATCGCTTATAACCCGCCTGGGAGTGCCATATCGAAAACAGATCTCATCGATCAGGGTCCTTGCACATACTTCGGCAGTGGCTTGCTGCAACGCAAATAGCTCAATCCACTTGGTAGCGGTATCTTCGACAGCATTTATCCAGCAGTTACCTCGCTCGGTTTCTGGCAGTGGGCCGACAAGATCTATTGCTATGTTATATTTTGGGTCAGCCAATTGTTCCTCTCGGACAGTTGTTGTACTAACTGTCGGTAGATCTAAAGCAATTGTACATATTTCACAATAATTTTCAGATGAAGTGTCGAATAGTGGTCTAGAGAGCATATCAGCAATACGATTGGATTTACTTGGGATGTATTCGATCCTAAGGTCGTAACCCTGTAACTCTAAGGCCCACCGCGCCAAGCGCCCTTTTGGGGAACGGAGAGTCATCAACCACCGCAAAGGCTGATGGTCTGTCTTGATGATTATTGGGGAATTCTCGATGTAATCCCGAAATTTATCAACGGCATAAATGATGGCCAGAGCTTCACGCTCGTTTGTTGTATAATTGCGTTCAGCAGAGGTGGTTAGGCGACTAGCATACTCGACTGGCCTTTCGTCTGGACCCTCCCC